ACACACACACACACAATAACAGTGCTAAGACCCTCATCAAGCCACTTATGGGCAGACTGAGAAAGAAAACAAAATGAGAAAGATGGAGGGGGGTGCAAGAGAGGTGAGGAAAGAAAAGAAGGGAGGGTGGAAGGAAGGTTTGAGCAGGTGGAAGGTGGGAGGAATGTCAGAGAGTTTGGAAGGATGAATTAGACAGAGGTACAGACAGACAGACAGACAAAAGTGCTCAAAAATACTTGTCTCTCCACCCGTTTCTTACTTTCTCTGGTTCATCTCTTCATCTCTCCTCTCCTTTCAGTGCTCTCACATGTCTACATTAACATTCACGATGCACTCAAGATGGTCATGAATATTTTACACACACACACACACACACACACACACAGCCCCCTCCCCACCTGACCTCACACACTGCAGCAGATTACATAACAGCCCCTCTCCTTTAACAGATGCACACATGCAGTATACAAATACACGCTTATTATCTTCTAAATTTTGTTCAAATTAGGGGGACAGAACACCCATCTTGGGCCACAATGTTCTAACAACAACAACAACAACAACAACAACAGCGGCAACAACAACAAAATGTTTAGATCTAGCGGCGGTCTCCATAATTTAATATTTCAGTGTGATGAGAACATAAGTTATGATTAAGTTGGGGATGATGGGAACGTCCAAACAGGGTGGAGATGCTAAAATTATGGTCTTGGTTTGCAACGCAATGGTACACACATTAATGTGATGGTTAACATGAAAAATGATCAGCTGTAACTTATATCTGAGTTTAAATATGCAAAAACACCAAAGTGAGCCAACTCAAAGAACTGACATGTTATGAATGGATTTTCCTACACTTAAACTTTGTTTTAGTGTCATACTTACATCATAACTGCATAATAATTAGGGCAGCAGCTAAACATTGTTTTCATTATCAAATAATTGATTTGTGGAGAAGCTGTTTAGTCCATAAAATGTCAGAAAATGGTGAAAATGATCACATTCAAATCTCAGTTTTGTCTGACTGACGTAAGCTGAAACTGGGAACGTTTGGCATTTTTGCTTAAAACGTAACTCACACGATTACTGAATTATCAAAATAGTTTCCTATTCATTTTCTGTCAATCAACTAATTGAATCACTATTTCTTTCACGGTAACTTCTTTCTTTCTTTCTAACTTCTCAGAAATTGGCTGCTGAATTAACAGCATCATATTTACAAGTTACGCTGTCTTAGAAACCAAACTCAGACAAAGGCAGATGTTTGTCTGAATCTAAATTTAGCCGAATCTTGCAATAACTTTTTTTTTTGCTCAGCAGCCGATTCTCAAGAATTTTCTACTTGAATGCTTCGTAGTCATTTCTATTATGGGAAAATTAGGGCTTGAAGAGGATTTGCTTGATGTTTGGCTGACAGCTGTCTCAACCAAACATATTTCACTGAGGTTTCTGGCTCCAGTAACCGGCAACATTTTGGCGTGGTACGCCTAACTGTAATTTTTCGGTGACAACACTGATGCTACACCCATGTGGTGATACAATCCCTCAACTGCATTACCACATGACTGGTTGTGGTGTTTTAACATATTTCACTACACAACAGCATCAGTAGTCAAGTATGTTGAGTTGAGTCGACACCTGCTAAGCGTAATGAGCCAGATGATTCAATAAGCCAAACAAATGGTAAACAGCATGAGTTTGTCAGGGTGCAAACAAAGATGAAACACAGGTTGAACGCGCTTGAGGACTTTTGTACACACGAGAAGCTATTCGTTCATCTGATCTGACACTGAAACGTTTCACTTTGAGGCTGTTTTGAAGGTTTGCAGGAGAGTTTAAGTGCAATCAAGTGGATTTTGTATGTGTGTA